CTCTCGGTTTCTCTTTCTCTTTATACATCTGTCGGTCTACCTATCGGTCTATAAATCTATTTAACTACCTCCCTCTAATACAGTTTCGTGGTCCGCTTGACCAATTCATATAGAACAATTAGTTAAGTTTTTTAGGTGAGATAAAAAAGTCAGTGGCACAAGCGGGATTCGAACCCACGACCTTCAGCTTGATACGCCGCTGCTCTACCACTTGAGCTATCGTGACCTCGATCCACTCGGACACTAACTTCTCTTCTCAACCTCACCTTTTGAATTTTCCCTCCTTTTTGCCATTTTTCAAATGTCGTGTAATCGGATTGGATTCTCGACGACAAATGAAATGGCCACGGTGAGCTTTAGTGAAGTATACTTCATTTTAAATCATTAAATTCACTAATTTCGTGGTCCGCTTGACCAATTAACACATTACAATTAATTACGGTTTTTTAGTTGAGATAAAAAAGTCTTATCATAATCTGAAAATAAATTTATTCTTTTTTAATTTTAAATTAATTTATATTTTAGGTAATAAATTTTTGATTTAACGAGGGGTCGCAACACCATGGGCATTTTTTTAACCTAGTGATGATCGCTGTGCAAATGTCTCCTACGCCCCCTTGTATATTATATCTTAAACTCAAGTAATTAGTTGGTTTGGTAAAGAAAAATAATTAAAACTTTATACCATCAATCTGGTTTAAACATTGCTTATGAAATATAGGATTGTTACTACAATTTGGTCAGTAAATAGTAGCGTGATTTTAACCAAAAACCCAGCAGGTATTATGTCTAAAATGAATAGATTGAGGCTAAAAAGACCAGGCAGATATATGAAAAATCGTTCAATTGCTGTACTATTCCGTCAAAAAAATAAAGCGAGATCGACAGGATTCGTTATTGAATTATAGCCGCTGTAACACACCAACCGTCGATACGTCAAACCCGTATCGAATTTATTAATTCCGTAAATCCGCCTGGTTCACAAAAAACCGCCATTCCTCCCGTTAAACATTTTCCGAATATGAAAAATATCTTTACACCTATGGTTATAATAACTCGCAATTGTCTTTAACAAAAGATCGAAAAATAGTTACTCTCACATTGTGCCTCCTTTCATCGGTAAACATTTTATATTTATGTTGAACCGGCACACGGGCACTACTGGGTCTGTCTTCACTCACGGGTTTTTTGTTTGAGTTATTCAAACGCGTTTCGACATTACGCCATCTTCAGTGATAAACTGTCTGTCATTTAGTCTGAGTGGGGTTTATATAGTGTTGCGTCCGTCGCTTGTCGCTGGGGGCGTTGCGTTAGGGGGCGTGGTTTTTGTGCTCGTTGGTCGGTCTTGGTGGCGGTTATTTCCGTTGTCAGTTATTATTTGTGCGTTGTTGGTTTTTTGTTTTTTCCTGGTGTTGGTTACGTTTTGTTCTTCTGAACGTTTTCGTTTTTTGTTATGGAGTGTTTTTAGTGGTGTGAAGGTGGTGTGTGATTTTGAGTTTGTTTGTATATCTCGAGGTTCTCCAGTATGTTTAGTTTTCGTCCTTTTTGTGCGTTGTGTATTAATGTCATGCTTGTTTCTATTGTGTTTGGTTCATGGTTGTAGTGTATTAAGTGTGTAATACCATTATTAAATCATTGGAAAACCATTTTCCCCGACTGATCATTCACTCATTTTCCTTCTCATACATTATGATAGTACAGAAAATCTACAAAAGGAAAAATTTATCTAATTAAAGTATCACGCTAATACATACTTATTTGTACAATCAACTATTGCCATTACTAGGCAAAAACCTTTCATCAAAATTCATCACAGTTTTTAAGCATGATAAATTGTTGAAAGTGATTTGTTGACAAATTGTCATCGATTTACCTTTACTGTCGGTAGAGTGACCTGATATCGATCCTAGGTATTGCTTTAAGAGAAACATCTTTTTTTTTTTATAAAATGGCAAAAAAACTGTCGTGCCGCGTTGTGTGAACCGTTTAGGGAAATTAAATCCATGAGGAATCAAAGGAGATTGAGGTTAATTTAATATTCAAGGACAATAGAAACAGAATTACTAGAGGGGTACTTCCCCTTTGAAGAACCGCTGGCTATTTTGTTTGTGCCTTGGTCGAAACGTGCATAGTCATTTAGGACGATAGACGATGACCCCCCGATGTCCGGATCAACCCTTGGAAATTGTTGTTTTCCTAAATACACACATTCATTCGTCCATCACCCGGGCAAACTTTGTTCATTTAATCCACCCTTTCTCTTTTTATCCTAATGGCGTTTTTTAACCCACCCCTTGTTTTTCCTCCCTAAACTCGTACTTTCCCATTAAATGGTGGGATGTTCGTAGTTCCCTCCGGTATTTGTTCTAGAGTCGGGGAGTAAATGTGTGTGTTATTTTTAAAATAGAATGAGATTACCGAGCTCTTTTCCATTGTTATTTTCATGGTTAGAGAACTGATGAAATCTATCCTTTTAAAACTCTTTCAGTTAAAACAAGACGAATGGAAAAACTTCGTGACAGTTTTTCAATTAAAAAAACGGACATCACGAAGACCGAAGTTTGAACATCCCGCGAATAACACGCACGCCGATCAATGAATCACGGCCTTCATAATTTTACGTGAAAATATAAAACAGAATTTTTATTAAGCGTGAAATGGCTTGTTATTGTGTTTGGAGAAATTTTTTCCCGAATCGATACCCTCTTCGCGAGAATTAAGTGAACGTCAAATTAAAGGCTGGAAACAATCCGAGACTTAGAACACTGAAAGCCCGAGGCGGAAACTTTCTTCAAATGCCGATGGAGATTTATCATCGACATCCGAATAATTGAAATGCTTCGGAGTTATGGGAAGTTTCTCAGAACGAAACAAACGCTTTCCGCCAACGATGCCCTCGGAGAGTTGCACTTTTAGGCCAAAGACTAATGACTAACTAATTACTTAGGACGTCAAAACTATCTTTTCACGCAATCCATCAGTAATTCGAGCTTCGTACTTTACAATAGATGTCCGGCAGGCCTCAAGAAATTCACCCACCTAGGTTCTATCTATCTATTCACCGAGGTTGGGCTCCCGGTGGTGTCCTCAAGAGCTAGGTCAGGTCAATTTAGCCTTAGCAGAGTCACACGAGGTCCAGTGCATTAGATCCTGTCTGCAAAAACGGGGGAGGGTGTATGGCCATCTGTACCACGGGGTAACTGAAAAGTTTCAAATTCAGCCCTAGTTACACTTGAAAAGGATTCGTGGTGGTGCGTGGTGACGCCCCTGGCGGGAACTTAGACAGAGGCTGTCTTCTATCTGTGACCTCAGCGAAGCTTGCGTATGGCCCACGTAAAACCCCCCGGCCTCACGGGAGACGTTGCGACCGGACGACAGCATGTAAGCGTTGAGGACGTAATGATCATGCTACAGTCCCTCGAATGCGTAAGTAAGGGAATGGAAGCGGGTAGTGACCCTTGGGAAGCGAAGGATCGGACCATCTAGGCTGAGCTTATGGCGTCCGTCGAATGCGCGTGACAGGTGTAGGCTGAGCTCGATAAGGGACTTTACCGTAGGCGGTGCTCATCTATGGGTTGGTTAGCAATTCACTTTAAACTAAACCGCTGCTGGGGCGTTCCCGGAAGTTTCTACGCTGGGGGAGCCTCTATACTCAGAGAGATAGAGTGGCCTTCTCTATCTAGTGAGTACGCGGGGGAGGGGGACGGGCTGATGTATTTCGGCCCGTTAGTCCCTCTCGTGCGGCATACGACCCGATGCACAATGCGGGCCCGACCATTCGGAGTGGACAAGCGGAGAGCGTGGTTGTGCTGGCCCTTAGGGGCTGGGAAACCTCTACACCAATGCTGCGACGGTAACACCATTCCGTCGTATGCAGAAGTGCGTCAGATCTCATCTTGAGAATCAAAACGTCCGATAAGGACGCTAAAGATCCTCTTGTCTTGTTGACGATGGGTACTCGGGAACACAAGGTCCGCTTGACCAATAAATATATTACAATTAATTAAGATTTTTAGGTGAGATAAAAAAGTCAATGGCACGAGCGGGATGGCAAAAAGGAGGGAAAGTTCAAAAGGTGGGGTTGAGATGGAAAGTTAGTGTCCGAGTGGGTCGAGGTCACGATAGCTCAAGTGGTAGAGCAGCGGCGTATCTAGCCTAAGATCGTGGGTTCGAATCCCGCTCGTGCCATTGACTTTTTTATCTCAACTAAAATCCTTAATTAATTTTAATGTACAATATATTATTGTATTTATATATAAGTATGTCCCAAAGAGGTGTGTCCCAAAAATAGCGCAAGATTTGAATTTGCCCCCATTTTTGAAACCAGGCCCGAACAATATTCCAATAATAATGAAAGCTTGGCGGCCGCAGTTGGAAAATTTTATACAAAATATGGTCAAAATAGTGTTTTAAACTCGTCAACTGTGAAAAGATTAATTGAAAAATTCAGGAAGACTGGATCAGTCTGAGACGCTAAACACACCGTAGTCCAAAAACCCTTCAACTGTCGATATCGAAGCAGTTCGTGAAAGTGCTGGTGAAGACCCAGGAACATCAATTCGGTGTCGTGGACAAGAACTTATAGAAAAACCTACTTAGTTGAAATATTGTTCAATAATGAAAACACGTTGTTGTATCGTATAACGCTCCATTTTTACCAACCTTAACCTCTCAGCTGTCAAATTATTCTTTTTTCAGGGTTGCCAACAATGCAAAAATGGCGGCAAATTCAAATCTTCGTTAATTTTGGGACACCCTTTATATAATTGTATGTAGGTTGGCAGGTTAATGGAGGAATATAAAGTACCCCATCTATTAAATAGAATGAATGCAAGTATGTAGGTGTGAATGTATTTATTTGTGTGAGTGTGTGTTAACGTAATATATCTGATTTATCTCGTAGTTGAAATATGCTAGAAAAAATTTAACTTGAGAAGAAGTTTTAAAGAAAAAGAATCTATTTTTAAATGTTAATGTTTTTATTTATTTATGTTTTTCAGGGCCTTTATTGAACACGGGATTCCATTTTAATGTTGGAAACTGGCCCGGCCACGTCGAGACAGCCGGGAGCAGAAATTCAACATGCGACTGGCTCCTCACGACCGAAGATCTGGCCAAAAGCGGTGACTCCGAGGGGATCTTTTTGTCCGTGGCCCATTGGTACCCGCCGCACACGTCCTGCACCTACCTCATACAGGGTCAAAAAGACCAAGTAGTACGTCTCTACTTTCCGAGGTACACAAAACAAGACCGGCCCGTTTACTGTTTATTTACTTGGAATTTTTTTCGCAGTTTCCGCATAAACAGGATCGAATCGCCCATAGCGGTTTTCGACGGAGATTGCGGCGAAAGCCTGACTCTTTACGACGCATCCTGGCCCGACGACTCAAGGATCATCAAAACCTTCTGCGACACGTTTTCCAGGGCTATGGAAAAACACGATTTCGTCTCGACTGGGAACGCCCTGTTTGTCAGATTTGAAAGCAAAACCGGAAGTTACTCTGGGCAAGTCATATAACTTTTTCTTACAAACCTACAATTTGCTCACATTCTCCCTGTTTAGAACCCGTATCTCCCAGAATGAATCATCATTCTTGTCTTTTTCATTCAATCTGCCTTCATTTTATATCTCTCTTTGCAGTATCTAATAAACAATTACCTAATTTACATCCTCAAATACAAGCACAACGACAAAAAATTATCTAGAGAAGATTCAATCGAAGAACGAAAGTTTAAAAAATTCTCGATCATTTGCACAAAGGAAACAACGGCGGTAGGTCATGGAGGAAAATTAGGCAGTTAAAACTAAACAGACAATTTCCAATAAGCGGTTTACATTATAGGTTAATATTCATCTGGGATATTACTCAGAGTACTTACCACTTATGTTTGACTTAGGCACACGCTAAATTGACGTTCATAATAAGCTGAATCTTAAGTAGTTTTCGATATTGATCAGACTGAAACGAACACATAATATTTTGACTAGACGTTTTCTGTTCTAGACGCAACACAATTTAGGTCTACGTACTTTACTACTTAAATTAATTATCCTTTTTATACAAAGTCTTGGCTGAGAAGAGTGAATAATTTTTTTACATCCTCCGATACATAAATATTTTTTATCTTCATCATGAGGTTGTATAAGTTTTATTCATAACCGTCCAGGTCACATGGGAACGTCATGAGGGGCAATAGTTCAACCAAAAACCCGAAAGCTTTTGCGGACGGTATCCAAACCATGATTTTTGATGTGACCAGCATTTCCGTGTAACCTTCTTGGTATTCAAGCGGATAGATTTTTACCAAACTACTCAATAATTTCAATTAATTAAGGCTTTTAGTTGAGATAAAAAAAGTCAGTGTCACGAGCGAGATTCGAACCCACGACTTTCGGCTTGATACGCCGCTACTCTACCACTTGAGCTATCGTGACTTCGATCCACTCGGACACTTACTTCCCATGTCAACCCCACCTTTTGAATTTTCTTTTTTTTATCTCACCTAAAAACGTGAAGTCTTTTCGGAGGATCTACGGAAGAGGTCAAACACAGAGAAAACTTCCGTTCGGAGCTTTCGACAGTTTTATACTGTCATCTTCAGGGCCTGTTTTATAATCATATAAAAAAACAATTAAAACATGAAAAAAAAGGCACAAAAATTGAATATCTTACTTAAACCTTAATGGGGAATTAAACGACATGGTGTTTTGGGCACAGAAGTACATTATGTTTTTTGGGGCGCAGCTTCTAAACATTATTTAAATTGAATAAATTAATAATTAAAAATTATAACTAAAATTACAATAAGAATTAAAAACGTGGTGGAGAAAGGTTACCTCATATAAATATATACCTCTAAAAAATTAGTAAAATCTTCCTTTCTTTCTTGTTCAGGTACATGNGATCACAAATCAAAACCAAAAAAACAAACCCTCTTCGACGAGAGGAAAAAAGGCTACGGGATACACTCGTTTTTTCTCCCCTAGTTAACAAAATCTGCCACTAGGGCGACGTTCTCATTTCCCTCCTTTGCTTAAAATTCTTGTATTCGTTTAGGAGGCCTGCATAGACCGAAATGAATCCCAACTTATCAGTTTGTAGATTACAAGTATTTGGGGTGACACTGATATATCCTTTTTCGGTCAGTAATCTCCTTTCCAAGTTCGACTCCCCGGACAAAATTTTCGGGGAATCGAACTTGAAAAAGTGATTACTGTTTAACGCATGGGTAGCAAGTACCGATATCTTTTTCTTATTCTCGCAATCCAACCTGTGTTGGTTCAACCGCGCAGACAATTTTTGCTTTGTTTGACGTACATAGTTGACATTACATTCACCACACGACACCTGATAGACCACATTGCAAAGTGATCCGATTGGTTCTTTTGTTTTTAGATTTGCATGTAATATATTTAGGTTGTTCTTATATTTATAAGCAATACCTACATCCCCAACTTTATGCTTGAAGAGCCATTTTAATTTTTGAGACACTTCAGGTATATACGTGATAGACCTGAAAAAAGTAGGTTTTGCCACCCCATTGTTTACCATTTCGATTTGTTGTACAATCGCATTTTGGTTTGGAAAATCATTTTCAATATTTACAGAGTTATTTTTCATTTCGACATTGACATTACTTACATTAAAAGTCGTTTAATTCCCCATTAAAGTTTAAGTAAGATATTCAATTTTTGTGCAATTTGTTTTTTTTTCATGTTTTAATTGTTTTTTTATATGATAATAAAACAGGCCCTGAAGATGACAGTTTAAAACTGTCGAAAGCCTGGCGAAAACCGAAAGGAAGTTTTCTCTGTGACTAAATCATTTACATAAATGAAGAAAAAGACGGGATCTAGGAGTGAGCCCTGTGGTATCCCTTGCTTAAAAATTTTCATAAGCGGATTTTACATATGGCAGAACTTATTTGCAAGTCACACATGCTTCTAGTTCATTCAACATTATTTCATGATTAAAAGTGTCAAAAGCCTTGTATAATTAATTTCTAATTATTATCACTAGTTTATTTCCTTCCAAGGATGTGTGTATAGTTTTAACTAAACTAGTTAGTAAGTATTTTAGTCACTTCTTTTCCGAAACCGTATTGAATTTAAAGAAGAGTACTGATCGTCGTAACAATATTCCTATTGATTAACAAACTGTGAGAGGTTTAATGATTCAAGAAAATCTTGAATTCCAAATGGCCTTCTTGAAAATCGGACCCAAAGTTGAGATGTTCATTATTAATTCCAATCGAGTCGCACAGCTTAATCTGATGAAAGAAAAGAAAGGGGGGAAGAAAAGTTCTTTTACGCTTTCATTAAGCCGATTCCTTAAACATGAAAGTAGTTTTGAAAAGAAGCTAGGAAAAGTTTCCATCTCCACCCGGCTTCCCACAACACAAAATGATAAGTATTTAATTTTCTAAAAGATTCTAATCCTAAGTGAAGACTCCAGTGTTAATAACTTTAAAACCTCTTTATTAATACTCCACACCCGAAAAGTTTCATTCCGGTGGGATTAGGAACTCGATGGAACATCATTTCCCCGTTATTGGTTTGAGAACGGGTTCAGGGGAGGTTCATTTTTAAATAGCTTCTTTATTACAGAGAGCTTGAAAAAATAAAAGAAGTTCGAAAACTGTAGAAAACAGGCCGAAGTCAGTCAATTAGAGAATTAATTTTATATCAATGGCAGTCGTTTAACTCCAATACAGTCCTTTTTATCCTGAATAATGAACCTCTATAATTAATTAAAAAGTAATTTGAAATTAATTAAGGAAAGTTTATTAATTTTGAATAAAATAGAAACTTAAGAAAGGAAAAACGTTTTTAAATCCTGGTAGCTCCATCTAATGAAGAAATCACAATGAAAGCGTTGCTTTTGGATTGTGCCCATAATTTGTAATTTTACGAACTTTTGGCAAACGAATTTCTGCCAAATGTTTGAAAGTTAAAAACCACCTTTTGTGTGAATTTGTTAAGAAATGTTTTGTACAAATAAACTTATTTGATTAATATTCAATAAAATTAATTCATTCTTGACTCGCACTACGCACTACTGTAGTTCTATTTTTAATTATTTCTTAGCTTCTTTTCTTTTGGTGAATTCAAGATCTTTATTTATTTATAATTTTTTATTATAATACAATTAATTAAGGTTTTTAGTTGAGATAAAAAAGTCAATGGCACGAGCGGGATTCGAACCCACGATCGGCTAGATACGCCGCTGCTCTACCACTTGAGCTATCGTGACCTCGATCCACTTGGACACTAGCTTCCCATCTCAACCGCACCTTTTGAATTTTCCCTCCTTTTTGCCATTTTTCAAATGTCGTGTAATCGGATTGGATTCTCGACGACAACTGAATTGGCCACGGAGAGGTTTAGTGAAGTTTACTTCATTTTAAATCATTAAATTCACTAATTTCGTGGTCCGTTTGACCAATTAATATAGTACAATTAATTAAGGTTTTTAGGTGTGATAAAAAAGTCAGTAGCACGAGCGGGATTCGAACCCACGACCTTCAGCTTGATACGCCGCTGCTCTCCCACTTGAGCTATCGTGACCTCGATCCACCCGGACACCAACTTCCCAACTCAACCGCACCTTTTGAATTTTCTCTCCTTTTTGCCATTTTTCAATTTTGTCAAATTTTGCCATTCCTTTTTTTTATCACAACTAAAAACCTTAATTAATTATAATATATTAATTGGTCAAGCGGACAACGAAATTAGTATTTTATTATAATGATGAATGCTTAGGTTAATTTCAATAATTCACTTCTTCATTAATCATCACATTTATAGAGTTGTATTATAATTAAAATGATTTATTTTACACCAAAATCTATCAACGTGCTCAACTGACTGTGTTTCGGCCAATGGTCGGTTTTATCGCGTTTCTATCTTACTACTTGTTTACATTATACAGCTGACTCGTTCTTCAGTAAGAACGAGTTTGAAGGCACGATTTATTTTTTTGGCACTGTAAATATTTATTAAATTGTTATATTATAAAAGCTGCCGTCCCACTAGGAAGCATTCTTGGTCCCATCCTTTTTTATCTATACTGATGATTTATCTTCACAGCCAATACGATCGTCATCACCTACGCACAAGTTAATAAAATTTTGCCCTGTTATTATTTGTGTTTTTGCTGTTTTTCGGTGTAAACCTCTTACAGCGTTTGCTTTTATTTTATTTTTTATTTATCACATTATTTGCTTTAATAAATTTCTAAATTAATATTTTTTTTTCAATCACAACAGGTCTCCCTGCACAGATCTTCAGCCGTTATAATTATATTACAACGTTTCCGGGATGGACCGCTGGGCGGCGTTCTGGTTTTACAGGGATTTTTTTCCCCTGAGAGGTTTTATAACAATTTTTAAATGTGTAGAGATTAGTGACCGTTAATCGATAGTTATTCAGATATCGTGAGATGCGGTCGAGTGTGATGTAGGTTTCAGTAGGTTCAGAAAAACATTTTCTTTATCGTGCCAACGTTTCGATCTTTATTGAGATCATCTTCAGGGCCTGGGATTTACAAACATTGTGTAATTGTGCCATTCTTGCGTGTCGTGTTGAGAGTGCCAGTGAGATTTTGCTGTTTTATGTTTGTGTAAGGCGTCGGCTTCTTTGAAGTGAAATTGTCGGCTTATTTGTATATTTACACAAAATTGTCTTTTATATACCGACTTCCTTCCCCACCCCTTCAACACCAAACATATATAAACATAAAATCTCACTGGCACTCTCAACACGACACGCAAGGATGGCACAATTACACAGAAGACAAACGCTTTGAGTGAGTAGAAATACTTTGTTTGAATATAAAATATATTTTGCATTGTATAAATTCACTTTTCCTCATCCTAAATGTAATTGTTAAATGTAAACATTGTTTGTAAATCCCAGGCCCTGAAGATGATCTCAATAAAAGATCGAAACGTTGGAACGATAAAGATAATGTTTTTCTGAAACCTACATCACTCGACCGCATCTCACGATATCTGAATAACAATTTTTAAAGAGAATTTTTGGCGGTTAGAACATTTTTAAACAATATAAATAGACTATTTTGACTAGTAATAAAAACATGAGCACAGTGAAACAATTAAATAAAAAGATTGTTAAATAGATCTTACTAGCTTAAATAAACCCGTTAGACTATATACCCTTACAAATCTGAACAAAAATTTCATATAAATTATTTAAATATATACATTACAACTTAGAGTAGATATTTCATATAAGTAATTCAATTGTATACTCATATAAACATGATACTAATGAAAACAAAATAAATAACTTAATTTACTAAGACATGCCAGCTTAAATAACCTTAACGGACTATATAAATTTATAACTTTAAATATAACTTAACAAATATATAATTTAACTATGTACATATACAACATAAAAACAAGACATTTCATTTAAATAATTCGATTATATACATATACAGTTATTAATAAAATGACTATATTGACTAGGGAATTAACATAGTGATCATAAAAACTTATAAATAACAAACTTAACTACTTAATACTACCAGTTTAAATACATGATTAAACCATATACATTTATTTTAAACTACCATTTTAAATAAATAATTTAACTATATACATTCATAATTTACACAATCAGTTCAAATTAATAGTTCACTAAGAGTAATTAAATTTGTACATTGAAGTTGTTTATTTACATACATAAAATTAAAAGCCCTTATGGGAATTTTTTATTATCGATGATTTTCATTTTGATTTTGTGAAATGTGTTTAGTTTTTTGTCTTAGACATATTTTATAAACTTGATAAACTCTTTATAATTGTGTTTGTTCTGTGTCAGTTTTACCAATTTACTTTCATCATCGATTTTTGTTTTTATTTCCATTTCTAGTATTCTTCTTTTATGGTTATAGATTTCGCATTTCGTCACAATATGTTGTTGTGTTTTTTAACTTGTAATTATATAAATATTTATTAAATTCTCCATGCCCTGTTAAAAACTGGGTAGTAATATAATTTGGTTGAATAAAATTCCCGTTTTTGATTCTTGATTTAATGCGTGGCAAGAATTTAAGTTGTCACTATTCAACCCACCTCGAACATGCAAGTACACCTTGAGCTTATCCACTGGTGAGATTTAATCCATTCAATACTTAGGACTATACATAGACAATAGACTGACGTGGAATCTCTTAAACTTAGAAAACAACAACTTAACATAAGAGTTAGACAATTTTGAAGACTTCTAGCACAGAGATCTGTCTTGATCGTCAACAGTAAACTAACCTTTTTAGAAAAGATGGTTCCTACTCACATTGAGTTTTTTCGCAACAATCCGGATTTGAGCCCTTTAGCTCATCGTCAGGTTGAAGACGTGTTCGTGGAAACCCTTCAACCTGACGATGAGCTAAAGGGCTCGAAATCCGGATTGTTGCGAAACAACTCAATGCGAATAGGAACCATCTTTTTTAAAAAGGATTGAACTCCACACTCACCCCATCATTTATAATTTCTGTAAACTAACCTTACCCTAGAATTTATTGCGACCACTTTGGACATTTGGAGTGGAACTTCATACTAATTATTGGGTTCTTCAAGCACTTCAACATCCAGCGCATCCAATCCTTCCAGTAAAAAGTCCTCAGACAAATCGACAAAACTGCTTACTACGTCACTATCCATAACGACCTCAACATTCCTTATGTCAACTAATCCGATTACTGCGACCAATTTGGAAGGAGTATTTAAATCCAATATCCACCGCATCCAATCCTTCCAATAAAAGTCCTCAGACAAATCGACAAAACTGCTTTCTACGTCACTATCCATAACCACCTCAACATTCCTTATGCCAACTACCTGATCCGATTACTGCGACCAATTTGGACGGAGTATTTACATCCAATGCTTTAAATCAAAAGTCGTTAGACAAATCGAAGCTTTATCTGATTTTTTCCCGATTCCAAAAGCTTCGCACCTACCTCTCGATCCATCTTAAGCATCCTGCTCGACCCCACACCACCGATTCTCATCCCGAGTAGCACCCACGTCGCTTTAATCGGCGATGGCCTCGAGACATTGTGTTCCAGCAATGGATGGTTTCTCATGGTATGTGTCATCCGGATGCAGGTTTGGCACTAGTGTTAGTGCTGTGACTGTTGCCTTTTTTTCTTTTATAATATCACTTTTCTGTTTAGTTATGTTTTCCACTTATCTTTCTTGCATCCATAACCATTCGAAAAATAATAATTGTTTCGATTTTTTAAGTTTTTAAACTGACATACCATTCAAATATGGACACACCATCAAATTTGGACATGCCACTTTTTTTATTAATTAAAAGTGAATGACGAAAATTTTAATGTTATAACATAAAAAATATAAATAGATAGATGGAATAACAAGAAACAAATAGACTAGATAATCGCAAATTAGTCTATTTGATGTTAAGTTCAATGAAAATTTCAGGTACTTGTAAACTAATTTAGTCAGCAATTTACGAACCATTTTGTTCCATGACCTGCAGCCATCCTGAGTGTAATTTTGTAATTCCGTCCTTCCAGATTTTCTCGGGTTTTGAGCTAATTTCTCGATGTGTTTTCTGTAGTTCTCAAATGAAGTAAAGTTTTGCCTATTAATAAAGTTTCTCAGAGCCTGGTACAAGTGAAAATCCGCGCTCATCCAACGCTTTCTGTTTATCCTGGTAGAATACAATCCCTTTGAGATTAGCCAATGCCGGAAATTTTTGGTCAACTCAATTATAAGTAGTATAATATTGAATTAAAGTTTTATTTGAGGAAAAAGATCATAATAAAGCATCACTTTCCAATTCCACTGGCTGTTTTCCCCATGAATTTCCTCTATGAACGTTGTTAAAAAAGCCCAATTTTCATCCCCAGTTATCAATATTTTTAAAAATGGGCTGAAAATGGAAATTCTTCTCTGAGGACATGCGAGGAACTCATTTATGCAACGAGAAAAATAAATCCGGCTGCTTTCAGATGCGTCGAAAAACTTTTGTGAGATATATTGTGTCTCTGCGATAGTTCTTTTCGTTAAGTGCGATTTATTTGTGACAAAAGGTTGAACTTGGTCATCATCAAATGTTGAAGGACGATCAGAGAGCACTTTGCCTTATCCAGAAAAAAATTTCTACTTGTGAACCGAGCAAACCACTTACGGACGGTGCTTTATCCTAAATCGTCATCTCCATGCACATCACGATTTTTCCTATCTGGCATCCTTTTACGGTGATAAAAAAAAACCTATCAAATCTTGAAAATGCACTATTTTACATACATTTTGAATTAGCAAAACACTTCATAAAAATATGAGATCTCTGATGCAAATAAAGAATAAAAACACATTAATTAATCGCTTTTCAGAGCTTGTACCAATAATGACTAAATAAATATTGCTTATATATACATAAGAAGTGTAAAGTCTAATTATTGAAAAACCTACGGACTTATTTGACAACACGTGCAAACCATGAAACATTCACGCTTTAAATATTGTATTTTTACGGTTAAAGACGATGTCCCTTGAAATCCCAATTACAGCTTAATTAAATTCCAGCCAGCCTTTTGTTTTACTTTTATTAATGAATATAAACTTGTGCGTAATGAAGTGGAAGACATTAATGGCGGTTTCGATTTCCAGCTCCTCTCTTTATTACTGGGCTCATTACGACTTTTTTAACAATACCAAATTCGGAAAGGCGGTGCCTGGAACCGTCTGCGACGAAGAGTTCTCCTCCTGGAGGTCGGTGTCCGGCTATTTCAGATCCCCGATGAACACCCTGGTTTACAAGAGGACAGAGTCGAGCGGACAGCTCACCTGCAGATACTCGTTCGTCACGGACCGACGTCTCTATGCACGGGTCATACTGACCATCACCAACATCAATTTTAAGGTATGTCTTTTACTTTAAACCCATTTTGTTTGTAGTCCTTGTTATTAAGTTTTTTAATGCAAACAATATATGTAATAAGATAAATTGTTGCATTGTGTATTATATTTGAATAGTGCTGGGGAAGAACATTAGCCTTCTCATTGTATGTAATTAGCATGAGGTGCCATACAGGGATGCATGAGTATAGTCCAGCTCGCCCTTCACCCTTCGATATTCAGCCTGGACAAATCTTCAATTTGTATACAAAATACTAATAAAACATTTCAAGAATGAAGAAGCAAAAAGGCACGGTTGTTAGAAAAATTGTTGCTGTTTGAAAAACTACATACCGAAAAGTTCAAATTGGAAGATTTGCAAAGACTAACAAAAAGTAAAATAAAGCAATTTCTGTCTTAATACCCTTTTGGGTGTTGCGGACAATAGGTCAAACCATTTTGGGATATAATTTTAACTGCCGGGATTCGAACTCAGAACGTCTTTAACGTCCGCACCTAGCCTATTCGGCTTTATCGGACGTTTTGATACTCAAGATCAGAGCTAACGCCCCTCCGCGTACGACTGCCGCAGCATTGGTGTAGAGGCAGCTCAGCCCCGAAGGGTCAAGACAACCTCGCTCCTCGCTTGCCCATTCTGAGCATTAAGCATCAGACCGTATGCCGCGCGCAAAGGGCTACCTAAGCCGAAATACATCAGCCTGGTCTCCCGCGCACTCACTAGAAAGAGAAGGCCACTCTATCTGCCAGAGTATTGGGGCTTCCCCAGCGTAGAAACTACCGGAACCGATCCGGCCGCCGTTTTGTTTGCAGTAGAATTGCTAACCACCCCCTAGAGGAGTACCGCCTATCGAGCTCAGCCTACACCTTCGTTCAAACCATACTCGAGTAGGAGCAACCGATTCATTACCCGTTCCCATCCGCCACTGCTCACGCATTCGAAGGACTTTTTAGCATAATCATAGCGTCCTGAACGCTTATACCCTGCCGTCCGATCCGCCCTATCCCGTGAGGCCGAGAGTATAACGTTGGTCATACGCAAGGTTCATGCGAAGGTCGCAGATAGAAGACAGCCTCTTCTCTAAGTTCCCGTCAGGGGCGTCACCACGAAACCATTCCCAACGTAACGAGGGCTGATTTTGGAACGTTTTGTTACCCCGTGGTACCCTCCACCGTCTTTGCAGACAGGATCTGGTACACTGAACCTCGTGTGCTTCTGATAAGGCACCCGCCGCCAATGCTGACCCCAGGCCGACACGAGTACAGCTTGTGCTTTAGAGAGGTTGCCACGCCCTCCAGGTTTCACCTTTATTTTGCGCCTAGACACCCCCTCTTGTTGACAAGGTTTAGGAAGGCTCACAGGATAGAACGAAGGAATCTAGATTGAGAAAGGGATTTTTGTGGGAGGTTTTAAAAACGCTATTAGATGATGTTTCTCTGCAACAACCGCAAAGCATGGTTCTCCAGCTTGATGGATGCCCTGCACACAATTCTGTCCAGGTGATACGTTATTTGAATCGTCGCATCCAGGAACTCATGATCTGTTCGCCTCCTCGGTCACCCGGTTTAACTCCACTTGACTCTTTTCTGTGGAGCCAGTTAAAAACCAATGTCAGGCCAATCATAACCCAGCAACCTCAGTTGAGAAAGTCTTGTCAATCCATCTCCCCTGACTCTATCGCTCCGAGCAAGTGTGAAGTGTGGTTAAAAAGATCAAATCTTTGCATCTGTACGAAAGGCCGGAAGTTTCAGCGTGAAATGTGAAAATAGCAACCGAAATAACTGTTTTTCCCCCAAATTTTTGCCATAACTTTGTCATTTTTTAACCAATTTAAAATCCGATTATACTATTGTTTTCAGCTTAAAAAATCCTTTAAAATTCTGGGTCTGGATGTATAGGTTCGAATTTGTAATTTTGAAGTTGAACTGGACCTAAAGTATTAATTTTTTTTACAAAAAAAAGGTAAAAATTATAAACTAGACGGAAATATATTAAACACTTTTTTTATAGCGTCATTGGTTCAACAGAAAGTCAGCCTGGCCATCTAAAAAGGGCACTCTAAATGTGTGTGTGTGTGCGTGTGTTTTATGTTGTAACACGTTATCACGTGTTTGAAAATATGGTAGTCGATTCGATAGGCGAGAGGTCCTGAGAATAGGGAGGGTGAGGGAGAACCTCATAACCAAGATCGAACACTTTTCGTGTTGTCACATGTGAGACACGAGGTCATGTAACAGAATCGGCCTTTTCCGATTGCCCAAAGATGGCTTCATTGATGCCAATTTCTTGTGAATTGTTTCAATTCGAACACATATCGACATTGATTGTTTGAAGCCCACCAAAGAGTCACCGTTGCCTTTTTTTAATGAGTTCCGAGGTTTTGAAAAATTGTGGTTCTGCTTCTCCTTTATCACAGTCCAGAACGTTATCGCAGAGATTACACTTTTCACCACAAGTAACAATTCTATCTTGAAAATGTTCGTTTCTATTTCGGCAAAGAAATGTTGCGCAAACTTCATAACCCAACTCTCGAACTTTTATACCTTTCCAATTGCTTAACGTTCCTTCCCGAATACTCGGTCATCCTAAAAAGGACTCTGAGGATCTTTAACGTCCGCACCTGTCCTTATCGGACGTTTTGATTCTCAAGATGAGAGCTGACGCACCTCCGCATACGACATGATGGTGTTATTGCCGCAACATTGGTGTAGAGGCAGCTCAACCCCGAAGGGCCAAGACGACCTCGCTGTCCATTCCACGTGGCCGGGTTTGCATTGAGCAACAAACCGTATGCCGCGCACGGGTTGTTCTTACCGTAGCCGAAATACATCAGTCCGTCCTCCCGCGTGCTCCTCTATTTCCCAGAGTATTGGTGCTTCCCTAGCGTAGAAACTTCCGGATTCGCTCCAGCCGCGGCTTGGTTTCAAGTGGAATATCTAACCACCCCCCTAGAAGAGCACTGCCTTCGGTAAAAACCTCCTGTCCAGCTCAACCTACACCTGCCATGCGCTTTCGAGGGACGCCATAGGCTCAGCCCAGGTGGTCCGATCCTTCGCTTCCCCAAGGGTACCACGCCGGTCATACGCACAACAATGCAAAGCATACTCGAGTAGGAAAACCAATTCACTACCCGTTCCCAACCGCTACTACTCACGCATTCGAGGGACTATCCAGCATAATCATCGCGTCCTCAACGCCTATACGCTGCCGTCCGAACCACCGTATCCCATGAGGCCGGGTGTATAACGATAGTCGTAAGCAAGTTTCGTGCAAAGGTCGCAGATAGAAGACAGCCTCTTTTCTAAGTTCCCGCCAGGAAGTCACCACGAAACCATTCCCAGTGTAACAAGGGCTGATTTTGGAACGTTTTGTTACCCCGTGGTACAGATGGTCATGCACCCTCCACCGTCTTTGCAGACAGGATCTGGTACACTGACCGTCGTGTGCCTCTGATAAGGTACCCGCCGCCCATGCCGACTCGAGGCCGACACGTGTACAGCTTTTGCTTTAGAGAGGTTGCCACGCCCTCCAGGCTGCACCTTTATTTTGCGCCTGGATACCCTCCTTGTAACCAAGGGTTAGGAAGGATCACAGGATAGAATGAAGGAATCTAGATTGAGAAAGGGCCGTGGACTAGAAATTGCTTATGGTGGACAGCGTCGATTTGCTACCTGAAAGATTTTCATTGCAAGTTCTGGAACAATTGTTCTGGGATTTTTTCAACCAAAGCTCGCTGAACATCTATAGAAGAAATTCTCCCGAGGCCTTCATTTTCTTAACGGCCTCTTGAAATATTTTAAACCATCCCTGAAAGGTGATTTCAATCATACTGCCATCGCCTCTAGACTTTATTAATGATTTTGTACGTTTGGGTACCGTTAAAGGTCGAATTATTCCCAAGTAACGGAATGTTACAAAGTTAAACAAATTTTTTGTTTGGAAGTGAATTAAAAAGTGTTGGCATTCATAAGAAAGAATAATCCATCGAACGTAAACATTTTGTTATATAGAGAGGTAATTGAGAATTTTGTTAGGTTGATATCTGCATGCTTTAAGGGCTGAAATGGCCTAGATGTAACTTATTTGGGTCAACAGACCGAGAAGACTGGCAACAACACATGAGTCGAATGTAAATCTAACTCAAATCCTTACGAGAGTCGGCATTGAAAGTCGTATTTGCGTCAGGTTTTTAAATCGTTCACTGAATTGAGAGTTCATTGACTTCTGGATCCAGAAAGACAAGGGAGAAACGCGTGAAAATGTCATATTAATTTGACCAAAACGCGGCGTTAACGATATGCTAAACCGGTTCTGCTAGGAACGGCTTAACGAGTATGCAAACCGCATCGCCTCCGAGCTATGTGCAAAAGCAGGCCGTTATTGTAATCGTAATTCTCACTAAACGAATTTGGAGACCCGAGGTCTCTTTAACATCGCCTTTCGGCGCATTTAAATAATAACCGACTGGAAGGTCGGTGTTAAATGGAAATGTATGCGCTTTTATAAACTACGGCATTTCACAGACGGTTGGTTTTCCCTTCGCCCTTCCTCTAGATTTTTATTACTGACGACTAATTCGATCAGGTCCGTTTGCGTTCGATTTGATCCGAAGCACCAGAGCTAATTAAAACTGTAACCCTTAAACGCGAGAGCACCCAGTAATTAAAAGTATACTGAAATGATAATTTTTTTCAAGTCTGGGCATAAAAAGAGGAAAGTTGACTAAAGTGAACTACCCTTTATGATTTACACTTTTCAGTACAAAGTTTTTTAATATGTATGATAATAACCTTTATGAAAGTGTACGCTTTTTGGACACTTATTGGCGATATCTTGATGAGAGAGATTAACTGGTACATTTCTTCGCTAATTAGTTTATTTCGCTTAAACCTAACATGTCAATTAATTTAATTTTATTAATTGGTCTAAGTAGCGTGTTCATTCACACAATAATTTCATCTCTAGATCACCAATTGAATTAAAAAAATAAATATCTATTTAGAGAT